GCAGCAGCAGGAACAACAGCAGCAGCAGCAGCAGCAGCAGCAGCAGCAGCAGCAGCGGGAGAAGCCTCACAAGTACAGCTGCTGCCGACGCTACAGCTGCTGCTGCGCTGCAGCATCACCAGCAGCAGCGCGCTGCTGTGTCTTCGTCGATTGGTTGCTGCTGCTGTGTCTGTTGAGGTGCTGCCTAGGAGAGCAGCACTTGCTGATGCTTTGCTGCAGGTGCAGCAGCAGCGGGATGTTGCTGCTGCTGCTGCTGCTGTTCTAGCAACAGGAAGAGGAGACAAGGCCCTATCTGCTGCTGGTAGCCAGTTGGTGCTGCCTCTGGTGTCTTCGGTGCTGCTGTCTGCTGCTGCAGCAGAAGCAGCAGCATGCAAACAAGCTCTGCTGCTGCTGCTGCAGCAGCTGCAGCTAGGCGTTCAGCTCGACCCCCATGCTGTTCTCTGCTGTCTTGCTGCTGTGCTGCGGGCTCATCCACGGTTTGCTGCTGCTGCTCAGGATGCTTTGTGTATTGCTGCAGCGAAGCTGCTGCAGCAGCAGCAGCTGCAGCAGCTGCTGCTGCTTGCTGCTTCAGACACAGCAACAACCAGAAGAGCTGTTGCTGCTGCGCTGCAGCACCTACCCATCGAACGCATGCAAGCTGCTGCTGCTGCTGCTCCCCTGCTTGTTGCCTGTCTCCTCGTGCTGCAGCAGGATAAGGAAGAGGAGACAACCCGGCAGCTAGCAGCACAAGTGCTGCAGCAGCTGCCGCAGCAGCTAAAAGGCAGCAAACAGCAGAGACTCGAGACACTCGCTCAGCTCCTTGCATGCCCTGAAAAAACCTTCAGAGATATGGTAATTGCTGCTGCTGCTGCTGCTGCTGCTGCTGCTGCTGCTGTGTTGCTGCTGCTGCTGCTGTTGCGCTGCTGCTGCTGCTGCTGCTGATGCACTTTTCTGCTGTTGCTGCTGCAGCCCTAGCTTTTCGTTCCTGCTGCGATAGATAGGCGTTTAAAGGGCGAACTGTGTCTTGCTGCTGCTGCTGCTGCTGCTGCTGCTGTTGCTGCTGCAGGCAGCTGAGGCTTTTGCTGCAGAAGTCGAGAGAGAAGGAGGCGGAGCAGCAGAGACAGCAGCAGCGCTGCTGCTGCTGACGGATTTGTTTATGGGTCGTCGAGCACTGGAGGGGCCCTTCGCAGCCCCGCAGCAGCAGCAGCAGCAGCAGCNGCAGCAGCAGCAGCAGCAGCAGCTGCAGCTGCAGCAGCAGGAGCAGCAGCAGCAGCAAGGAGTGGTGTATAAGAAGAAAGAGCTCGACGCCGCAGAGTTCTTTGGCGCTGCTGTTAAGGGAAAGATGAAAGGAAAGGCAGCAGCAGCAGCAAGTGCAGCAGCAAGCGCAGCAGCAAGTGCAGCAGCAGACAATGGGGAGGAGTCTGGCGAGCAGCAGCAGCAGCAGCAGCAGCAGCAACTGCAGCAGAAGCTGCGTTCGGATGAAGAGCGGTCGATGATGCTGGGTGTTGCTGCTGCTCTGCGCTGCTGCGCCGAGCATTTGCTGCTGCAGTCATCTGACACGTTGCTGCTGCTGCTGCAGTTCCTGCTGCAGCAGGGCCTATCATCCCCTGAGGCTGCTGCTGACCCCGTGCTGCAGCAGCAGCTGCTTGCTGCTGGTGTTGCAGCAATACGTGGAGCTGAAGACGATGCTCTGAGGAGAGAGATATTCCAGTGTCTAGACACCTGCACAGACACCCGGCTCACCCCCACCCCCACCACCACCAGCAGCAGC